TTTTTTGGATTAATAATAAAAATGGTTTTAATAATAATTTTCAAAAAAAAAAAAAAAAAAATTTTTAAAGCTTTTTTAATGAAATTAATAAATAATAATATTAATAGTCATAATAATAATAATAAATAATAATAGATATCCCTTTAAACCTTTTATTAATTTTAATTTTTAATCAAATTTTATTTAGATTTTAAGTGAACTTGCAGTCACTGAACCATACAGTTTTAAAGCATTAGCAGATTTAAGTAAAAGTGTTTTCAAAAATCAACCTAAATAAAAAATTTTAATTTATAAAACTATTCAAAAATTATTTGTTTTTTTATTTTTTTATTTTTAAATTTTACAAGTTATTATTTCATACTAAAAAATCATTGAAAGGAATTATAAAAAATTATAACAGGAATAAAATAAATTTAATCAATTATTATAAATATTGATGATGGTTTTATTTATGTTTTCAATTAACCTTTTAATAGTTTGACATATTACATTTATACACAAAAAGCACTACACACATAAATACATAAAAAAAATTTTTTTTTTACACACCAAAATTAATCAAATTATATTTTATTATTTTTTATTTTTTTTAATCATTTTTTTTAATCCTATTTAATAGTCTTTTTCGTTTTTTTCTTATAATTTTACAAAACACTTTGTTTATTTCTTTCAAAAAGTAAAAAAATAAAGATCCGCATTCTTAACCAAAATTAAATAAAGAATGTTTGTGACCACCAAAATACAATAATTAAAATAATAAAAAAAAAAACTTAAATAAAAATTAAAAAAATAAAAAAAATAAAAAAAATAAAAAAAAAATAAAAAAAAAATAAAAAAAAAATAAAAAAAAAAAATAAAAAAAATGAAACGCATTCTTAGAACATTCTTTATAAAAAAAACAAACATATCGGTGTTCATATTTCTAGGTGTATTTTAAAATAATAAAACAAAAATAAAATTTTATTTTTCTTAAAAAATTATATTCTAGTGATAATAATTCGCGAAGTATTTTAACCTAATTACTTGTTTTTATATTATTTTTTAATTATAGTTTTGATTCATTTCCTTTTTTGTAATTACAAAATTATTCATCACAAAAAATGAACGGACTCCAGCATTCAACCCACTTCTAAGAGTGCCAATACAAAATTATTTTTCAGGTGTCATCTTTTCTTAATTATTTATTTAGATTTTATCAACAAAAATAAAATTTGTGAAAATAATATTTTGTATAAATTAAAATTTTTTTATCATTTTATTAATCCAAAAATAATCAAAACAAATAAATTTAATTATTTTTCATATATACAAATATAATTAATTTATTTATTTTTATTTATATTTTTTATTTTTTTTATTTATTATATTTATTTTATTTTTTTATTTATTTTCAAATATATTCTTTTTTTCAAACACTTCAAAATAATTTATAAATATTTTTAATAACACATAAAACTTTTTTAACAAATATAAAATGGAAAATAATTTTCAAAATATAAGAATTTCCTCAAATAATACAAATACTAATAATAGTAATAATAACAACAACGATAACGATAATGATAATGATATAGAAAATATAGAAAATAATTTTAATAATATATCAGATCAATTGGAAAATGAATCAATTAAGTTTATTTCAAATTTAGATAATCATAATAAAGATATTGAACTAGGAGAAAGGATTGACGAAGGGGAGGAGTATTTCAAACTAAGACAATATTTTGAAAATTCACAAAGGCAACAAATTCAAATTGGTGGGAAACCAAAAAAAATGGGTGTTTCAATAAAAAATTTAACAGTTGTTGTAAGTATATTTTATTTTATTTTTTTTACAAAAATTTAAATATTAATTAAATTATTTAAATTAGGGTCGAGGCGCAGATAGCTCAATCATAGCTGATAATTTAACACCTTTTAAAGGTATTCTTAATTTATTTAATCCTCTTAAATAGTAAGTATATTCTTATTTTTTTATTAAATTTAATTCCCAAAAATATTAATTTTTTTTTTTAATAGTTTTAAAGAAAATAAATTTTTAACATTTAATATTTTAAATGATATTAATATGTTTGTTGAAGACGGAGAAATGCTTTTAGTTTTAGGCCGTCCAGGTGCTGGTTGTAGTACCCTTCTTCGTGTTATTTCAAATCAAACAGAGTCTTACATTGATGTCAAAGGTGAAGTAAAATATGGTAATATTCCAGCAGCTGATTGGAAAAATAAATATCGTGGTGAAACACTTTATACACCAGAAGAAGATATCCATTTCCCCACTTTATCTGTAAAAGAAACTTTAGATTTTACTTTAAAATTAAAAACTCCATCACAACGTTTACCAGAAGAATCCAAAAAGAATTTTCGTAATAAAATTTATGATTTATTAGTTGGTATGTTCGGTTTGGTTAATCAAAGGGATACCGTAAGTTTATTATGTCTTAAAACAAATGTAATATTAAATTTATATTAATTTTTTTTTTCTTTTTTTTTTTTTTAATATATAGATGGTTGGAAATGAGTATATCAGAGGTTTAAGTGGAGGTGAGCGTAAAAGAATCACCATTACCGAAGCTATGGTTTCTGGTGCATCAATTACATGTTGGGATTGTTCAACTAGAGGTCTTGATGCTGCATCAGCATTTGATTATGCCAAGTCTTTAAGAATAATGTCAGATACATTAAATAAAACTACAATCGCATCATTTTATCAAGCTTCAGAAAGTATTTATAATCTTTTTGATAAAGTTTTAATTTTAGATAAAGGTAATTATACATTTAATTTATATAAAGTTCATTTTTATTTTGGATCTATTCTAATATTTTTATATATTTTTTTTAAAGGTCGTTGTATTTATTTCGGTCCAGTTGGTTTAGCAAAACAATATTTTTATGAATTGGGTTTTGATTGTGAACCAAGAAAATCAACACCAGATTTCTTAACTGGTGTTACTAATCCACAAGAACGTATTATTAGATCAGGTTTTGAAGGTAGGGTTCCAGAAACATCAGCAGATTTTGAAAATTCTTGGAAAAACTCAAAACTTTATTCTAAAGCTTTAAATGATCAAGATGATTATGAAAAGAGAGTCGAGGAACAAAAACCATCAATCGAATTTAAGGAACAGGTTTTAAATGAAAAAAGTAGAACCACTTCAAAGAAATCACCATACAGTTCTAGTTTTATTGGTCAAATTTGGGCTTTAACTAACAGACAGTTTCTCTTGGTATATGGAGATAAGTTTACATTGGTAACAGGTCTTTTAACAGTCATTATTCAAGTAGGTTAAAAATTTAGTTTTTATAAAATCTATTGATTATTTATTAATTTTATTATTTTAATTGCAGAGTTTTATTTATGGTGGTATTTTCTTTCAACAAGAAAAGAGTGTAAATGGTTTGTTTACCAGAGGAGGAGCTATTTTCTCATCAATCATTTTCAATTGCATCCTTACTCAAAAGGAATTAATCAACTCATTTACTGGTCGTCGTATTTTATTGAAGCACAAGAGTTATGCATTATATAGACCAGCTGCTTTCTTTTTATCTCAAATTTTTGTTGATATTCCATTTGCACTTTTTCAAGTTTTCCTCCATTCAATTATTTCTTATTTCATGTATGGTTTAGAATATAATGCCGCCAAATTCTTCATTTTCAGCTTCACTTTGGTTGGTGTTTCATTATCAAGTGGTGCTCTATTTAGGGCATTTGCAAATTTTACTCCATCCCTCTTTACTGCTCAAAATTTAATGAACTTTGTTTTCATTTTTATGGTTAATTGTAGGTATCTTTTAATTATCAGCTATTTATTATTTTCATTTTATTAATTTCATTTAATAATAATAGATTTCGGTTATACTATTCCTTATGATAAAATGCACCCATGGTTTAAATGGTAAGTTTATTTTTAAAATTATTTTAATTTGTTTATTTAAATTTTTTACTAAAATATTATTTTCTTATTAAGGTTCTTTTGGGTCAATCCACTTGGTTATGGTTTCAAAGCATTAATGATTAATGAATTAGAAGGTCAAAGTTTCCCATGTGATTCAAATGCTATTCCAGGCAATGATTTCTTGTATCCAAATAGTACCCATAGAATTTGTCCAACCCCAGGTGCCATAGAAGGTGAATTAACTGTTCGTGGTGAAGATTATATCTATAATGCTTTCCAATTCAAAGCTTCAGAAAAAGCTATTGACGTTATTGCCATTTATTTATTATGGTTATTCTATATTGCATTGAATGTTTTTGCAATTGAATTTTTTGGTATGTATTAAGTTATTTTAATATTTAAATATTTAAATTTAATTCTAATAATATTTATAAAATTAATAGATTGGACATCCGGCGGTTACACTCACAAAGTTTATAAAAAGGGAAAAGCACCAAAGCTTAATGATGTTGAAGAAGAGAAATTACAAAATAAAATTGTTCAAGAAGCTACAAGCAATATGAAAGATACTTTAAAGATGGTTGGCGGTATCTTTACTTGGGAAAAGATTAATTATACAGTTCCTGTTCAAGGTGGAGAAAGATTATTATTAGATAATGTTATGGGTTGGATCAAACCAGGTCAAATGACTGCTTTAATGGGCTCTAGCGGTGCTGGTAAAACCACTTTGTTAGATGTATTGGCAAAAAGAAAAACAATTGGACATGTAGAGGGTATTTCTCTTTTAAATGGTAAAACATTAGAGATTGACTTTGAACGTATTACTGGTTATGTTGAACAAATGGATGTTCATAACCCAGGTTTAACTGTTCGTGAAGCTCTTAGATTCTCTGCTAAACTTCGTCAAGATCCATCAATTCCAGTGGAAGAAAAATTTGCTTATGTTGAGCATGTTTTAGAAATGATGGAAATGAAACATTTGGGTGATGCCTTGGTTGGAAATTTAGATACTGGTGTTGGTATATCAGTTGAAGAAAGAAAGCGTTTAACAATTGGTCTCGAGTTAGTTGCTAAACCACATATTGTAAGTTTTTTTAATTTATAAAACTCTCATTCTTATAAAAATTATATTAACTTTCATTTAATAATTAATATTATAGCTTTTCCTCGATGAACCAACCTCTGGTCTCGATGCTCAATCATCTTATAATATTATTAAGTTCCTCCGTAAACTTGCAGATGCTGGAATGCCATTGGTTTGTACAATTCATCAACCATCAAGTGTATTATTTGAACATTTTGATCGTTTATTATTATTAGCTCGTGGTGGTAAAACTGTTTACTTTGGTGATATTGGTAAAAAATCAGCAACTTTATCAGGATTTTTACAACGTAATGGTGCTCGTCCAATGATGGATGACGAAAATCCAGCTGAATATATGCTAGAATGTATTGGTGCAGGTGTTCATGGTAAAACTGATGTTGACTGGCCAGTCGCATGGACCCAATCACCAGAATATCAAAGTATTCAACAAGAACTTCAATTATTAAAAACCCCAGAAGAATTAGCCAAATACTACTATTCTGAAAACTCTGGTAAAAAAGAAGCTCAACCAAGAGAATTTGCCACCTCCTTCCTCACTCAATTTTTTGAAGTTTATAAACGTCTAAACCTTATCTGGTGGAGAGATCCATTCTATTCAATTGGTTCATTCTCACAATCGATTATCTCTGGCTTAATCGTTGGTTTTACTTTCTATGGTCTCGATGGTCAAGTTTCTTCATCAGATATGAATCAACGTATTTTCATGTGTTGGGAAGGTATGATTCTCTCAGTTCTCTTAATTTATTTAGTTTTACCACAATTCTTTATTCAAAAAGAATACTTCAAAAGAGATTTTGCAAGTAAATATTACTCTTGGCATGCATTTTCCCTTGGTATGGTTGTTGTTGAAATCCCATATGTCATCATATCATCAACTCTTTTCTTTGTTACTAGTTTTTGGACAGCTGGTATGTTTTAAATCAAATTTTTAATTTTATTTTGCACTATATTAATTTGAATTTTATATTTTATATTTTAGGTTTACAAACTGGTGTTGCAAGTAAAGATTTTTATCTTTGGTTAATTCACACATTATTTAGTGTTAATATTGTTGCATTTGCTCAAGCATTAGGTGCCGCATGTGTCAATATTGCTATCTCTATGGCTGTTCTTCCAATTGTTTTAATTTATATTTTCCTTTTATGCGGTGTTTTAGTTCCACCACCACAAATGTCCAAGTTTTTTAGCGGCTGGTTATATCCACTCAACCCAGCTGGTTACTTCCTTGAAGGATTTATTACAACTGTTTTAGAACCAATCAAAGTAATTTGTAGCCCTCAAGATCTTGTTAAATTTACCGCTCCTGAAGGAATGACTTGTGAAACCTACTCAGAACCATTCATTTCAAACCCAGCTACAACCGGATATGTAACATCAATTAACAATAGCACAAACGAATGTGGTTATTGTATTTATAAAAATGGTGCTGACTATTACGAAAATGAATTACAATTTGACTATGCTCATCGTTGGAGAAACTTTGGTATCTTATGTGCTTATTGGGGATTCAATATATTAGCTGTTCTCTTCTTTGTTTATTTAACCAGAAAACAAATTAGATAATTTAATAAAATAAATAAAAAAGTTCATTTAAACTTAAAAAAAATAAAATATTGGCTCTTAATATTAGTTATTTATAATAATAAAAGTTGTAATTATAAAAAAATTTAAATATTTTGTTTTTTAGTTTTTAATTATTTATTTATTTATTTAAAAATTGTGGTAACTGAAAGAATTTGTATTAGTTGGATCATTTTCAATAATTTCAAAAGCCGCCTTTCTCTTTCCGTCTTGGTTTAGTGATGGTTGGTATGGTGTAATTAATAAGGGTCTTTGTTCAAAATGTACATCTTTTTCATTTTCATATTTAGAGATTAAATCTTCCAATTCCTATTTATTAGAAAAAAAATAGTTAGTATAAAAAAACAAAATAATGTTTAATAAATCTTTGTAAAATATCATACCTCGTTATTGTTTATATTTGATAAACCATCATAATATTTATGAAAGGTTTCTGAGTCTTTTAAAAATGTTTCTAAAATTGAGAATTTTGATGTTTCTGGGTCAATACGTTTATCAAAAGAATCTATAAGTTCATTTAATCTTGATTCAAAATCTAGTAACATTGTCATTCTTTGTTTGAAAAATTCTTTATCTTGAATATCTGGCGATGGAGTTGGTGAAAACAATTCTTCTAACCATTGAACTGTTAAATTAAATCTTTCTGTTGTTTTTTGTTTTGTGCTATTATATATACCTATTAAAAAATTTCTAATTAGTATAACCTTTTTATAAATACAATTCCCTAAAGAAGATACTTACTACTATTATTATCAAACAAACTACTTGTATCAGTTTTCATACACTCTTTAACAAATTTGAAGAAATCTTCCTTGTGTTCAGTTTGAATATGTCTCCATAAGTGAAAACCATTAACACTAACTACTTTATCACAGTGATAACATGAAAAGAATGAATATCTATCATCCTTGGATGGTGATAAACGTTTTGGATTTGAACATGCTGCAACCTGTGCTTGGACACCAATATAATAGTTATTATAGTATGATTGAATTTTTCTACCAAATGAATCATTTTTATTATGTTGAATTTCTTGTTGGGGTTGTGATGCCTGGCCTGATGGTAGTTGAGTTTGTTGTTGTTGTTGAGCTTGAGGAATTTGTTGCTGCTGTTGTTGGGTTTGTGGAGTTTGTTGTGGATTTGTTTGGTTGTTATCATCCTCCAATAATAAATTTGGTGATTGATCCAACATTGGTGTACCGGTTCTACTGGAAAGTGTTGGTGTAGTAGTACTTGGAGTATTTGCTTGAGAGTTCTCTTTACTACCACCAGTTAATGGGTTACCACTGGCAGCAGCTTCTCTTTGTGCTTGTGCAATGAGCTCAGCAATTACTTCGGTTTGGGCTGGGTCTTTAATTCTTGGTCTTCTAGATTCATCTCTTAAATGAAGGTAACATATATCCGATTTCTTTTCAATCATATATCTAATACAACAACCTCTACATCTTTTATTATTACACTCTTTATTTGCTTTTTTTGCTTTACATTCTGTACATTGTTCACCAGCTTGTTGCGCAGCAACATCTCTTGAGGATCTAGGTGATGCTGGTGGTGATACTCTACCAGTTTCGGTTTTTAATCTTTTATTACTATTTGTAATATTATTGTTATTGATATTATTAATATTTTTTGGGGTTTGAGGTGCTTGCTGAGAGGCTGACGATTGTTGGATTGGTTGTTGAGCTTGTTGTTGAGCCTTTTGCTGTAATAATAATTGTTGAGCTTGTTGTTGTTGTTGTTCTAATTGTTGTTGCTGTTGTTGCTGTTGTCTTTGTAATTGAAATTCAAACTCTCTTTGACGTTGAATCTCTGCTAAAGCTTGTTGTTGTTGTTGTTGTTGTAATAATTGTTGTTGAATTAATTGTGCCTGAATTGCAGCTTGTGCCTGAGCCTGTGCATAAAGTTGTTGTTGGAGTAATTGTGCTTGGTTTTGTGCTTGAGCTTGTGCGAATAATTGTTGTTGAATTTGTTGTTGCACTGTAGTTGCACCTGGAAATTGTGATGAAGGAATTTGTTGTGATGAAGTTGGGTGATGACCTTGGGTTGCAAATAATGGATTATATGGCATACCCATTGGATTAATACCGGGAATTGGTGTTTGTGGTTGACCTGGTTGTGTTGATATTTGTGGTGGTGGATGAGGAAATATGGTTGGGGGTTGTTGACCAACTTGTCCTGGTTGTGTTGCTGAAGCTTCTTTATTTGTTATTGAATGAATAAGAGTCCTCATTTGTTTTTTCATTTCTGGTTTTGTTGATGCTGGAACAATATCTAAAAAATTATTATAATAATTAGAAAGATAATAGGAAATTGAATTAATTATTTTTAATTTTTTTACACATACTATGATTTTTTAAATATAATTGTAACTTGTGTTTATCTAAATCTTTTAAATTATCTGGATTTAATGATTCGATTGGTGGGAGTTGATCATATGGTGTTGGAATTGAATTTAATGTTCCAGGTTTTCTACCTGGTGTACCTGCTGGTCTTTCTTTCCCATCCATTTTTAATTGTTTTTTGATTTTGTATTGTATTTATATTTTTATTATTATAATTATTTCTCTAATCTTTCAATCTATTATTCTATGCTTTATGTTTATTTATAAATGTAAATAGAATTGAAGATATTAAATTAAATTTTAGTCGTTTAAAAAATTTAAAATTTTGAAAAAAAAGAAATAAAAAAATGAAAAAAAAATGAAAAAAAAAATAAAAATTTTTAAAAATTAAATTTTTTGAAAAATAAAAAATTTAATTTTTTTTTTTTTTTTAATTATGGATAAAAGTTATTCTTTGTTATTAATAAATTATCAGTTTATATAATCAATTACCTCTAACTCAAGCCCCTCTAACTTTTTTTTTGGCCTCATTCTCCCCAAATTTTCTTTTTTATTTTTTATTAAATAGCCAAGTATACATTGTTTTAAAAAAAAAAAAAGTAAAAAAGTAAAAACTAAAAAGAAAAAAAAAAAAAAAAAAAAAAAAACAAAAAATAAAAGAGGGAAAAGGGAACCCCCTTATTTAATAATTTGAATATAATTTAAAATATTAATTGGATATATTTATTTATATTTTTTTTTTTTTTTTTTTTTAAAAAAAGATATTTATTTTTAATTTTTTTTTAAAAATTTTTTTTTTTTTTTTTTTTTTGATTTTTTTTTCAATTTATTTATTTTTTTTTAAAATTATCATCACACACCCACACTAAATTTTATATATCATTTTTGTTTGTTTATTTGTTTATTAATATAAAAGCTATATAATATCCTTTCTTTATATAATTAGTAAAATAATAAAAAGAATAATAATATTAGAGATAGATAAAATTTTTTTTTTTTTTAAAATATATATTTATTTATGTGCAACAAATAATAAAAAAATAAAAAAATAAAAAAAAACAACAATTATAATCTAATTAATAAGAAATTCCTTTTTTTTCTTTTTTCATTTATATAAATTAAATAGTTTCAATAATCAAATATATTATTTTAAATACTGTTAGTAATAATTATTATAATAGCTTTGAATTAATTAATTTTTAATTTAATTTAAAATTGTATATACAACAATAATTATAATCTTTTTTTTTTTGTAATAATATTTTAACAATAATAATATTGTTTTTTAAATAAAATAATAATAAAAATAATAATAAAAATAAAAATAATATAGTTTTAAAATTAAATATATAATTATAAATAATGACAACAACTCAAACATTTAGTCAAGAGTTAATTGTAGCAATTGAACAAAATGATATAAATAAAGTAAGAAAACTTCATAGTAAGAAGAGAATTACTAGACAAAATATTGTTGCATTCGATGGATTTGGACAATCACCAATTACAGCAGCAGTAAAGAATAATAATGAAGAGATATTAGATCTCCTTTTACAACTTTGTATCACACTAAAAGCTGACATCAACAACAGAGACAAGAATGGTTTTACAGCACTTCACCAAGCAGTCTACTATGAAGATAAGATTCTCATGAAATTATTACAGTATGATAATATTAATGTCGATGTTCAAAATGAAGACTACAATACTCCAATCCATTATTTTTGTCAAAAATTTAAATATCCAAGTTGTCAAGAGCCATTCCAACTTTTCATTCAAAAGGGTGTCAATGTAAATGCTCAAAATAAGAATGGGGAAACTCCATTACACAAGGCGATCTTTAATAACTATGTACGTCTCATTTTAGTTAACTTACTCTTAAAGAATGGTGCAAATGTAAATTTAGTAACAATGAATCAAGAGTCTCCACTCCATTATGCCGTTCGTTTAGGTCGTGAAGATTTGGTATCTGTTTTATTAAAGGCTGGTGCTGATGTCGATTTCGTCGGTACCAAAGATAAAAAGACTCCATATGAATTGGCCATCGATGAGGGTTCAAAAGAAATGATTGCACGTATTAAAAAATATAAAGTTCTTTTCCAATGGTTACAAGAGCACGATTTAGAACAATATAAAGATGCTTTCTTAAAAGAAGAAATATTTTATGACGAAATTAGTGAAATGAATGAAGCAATGGTCGATAAAATGGGCTTTTCAAAAGGTCATAGATTAAGAATTATAAAACTTATTACCAATTTAGCAAGTATGTTATTATATATTATTATTATTATTATTATTATTATATAAAAAATTTAAAAACTATTATAATTTATACTTATAAAATTTTATTTTATTTAGATGAAAATAAAGAAAAGAAACCAAAGACACCAGAAGTTATAGCTGAAGAGGATCCATCACCACCCGATACCCCTGATATCTCTGGTCTTAGACATTCATTACACACATTAAGACACATAGGTGAAGTAAATATTATAAAACATGAAGAGTTGGAATATACCGATAAATTAGGTTCAGGAAGTTCAGGTAAAGTTTATAAAGGTCTCTATAAAGGTAAAGAAGTTGCAATTAAAGTATTAAAATCAATGACAGAAGCGAGAGAAATAGATGAATTTAAGAAAGAATTCCAAATCATGAGGTAACTATAATTTATATTTTTGATTGAGCCTTTTTTGCTTGCCACCTAAGGGAAATAAAAAAATATTAAAACTAACTCATTATTTTATCAATATATTTACAGTGCTATAAGATCAAAGCATGTTGTACATTTTTATGGAGCAGTATTACAGCCAAAACTTTGTATGGTTATGGAAAATTGCATTAGAGGAAGTTTATATCATGTAATGAACGACGAAAAATTAGATATTGGTTGGGATAAAACCTTTAGATTTGCCACCGAAGCTGCAAGAGGTATAGCATGCCTCCACATGTGGGAGCCAATGATTGTTCACAGAGATTTAAAGTCCTTAAATCTTTTGGTCAACGATAAATGGGAAGTTAAAGTTTGCGATTTTGGTTTAAGTCGTTTCAATACAGGTTCAAATTTAGAAACATTGGTAAAGATGAGAGGCACCTTTGCCTACTGTGCACCAGAGGTTTATTTTGGAGAACAATTTTCAGCCAGATCCGATGTCTATTCAATGGGTATGATTCTTTGGGAATTGGTCACTAGATGTATAAATGGTAGATATGAAAGACCTTTTTCAGAATTTAAAAATTTACAACACGATTTCCAAATTATCATTCAAACCGCAAAAAGGAACCTTAGACCCACTATTCCAAAAGCATGTCCTGTTTCTTTTTCACAATTAATTCAAGATTGTTGGGACCCTTCTTCAGAAAATAGACCAACTTGCAGCGATATTGTTAGAAGATTAGCCGAAATTGAAAATGAATATAGAATGAATACACAACTATGGAATAGCTATATAGTTCCACTCCCAAAAAGTCAAGATAATTAATAAAAATAACAATAACAGTAATAACTTATTTAAATAATAATAAAAAAAAAAATAAAAAAAATAAAAAAAAAAATTATAAAAAAAAAAAAGTTTAAAAAATTTTTGGGATGGTTCAATTTTTTTTAAAATAATCCTAAAATCAACCTTTTTTAAAAAACCCATCCTTTTTAAATCAAATTTTTTTTTTTTTTTTTTCGATTTTTTTTGTTTGGGAAAAGAAAAAAGAAAAAAAAAAAAAATAGTTTATAACCATCATCAATCATATGTTTTTCAAATAATAAATAATATATTATCTCTATATAATCATAAAAAATTTTATTATAAAAAAATAAATAAAATAATCATTTAATTAAACACTTTTGATGTTTAAAGAGTGGGGTTAATAATTTTTTTATATTATTTTCGTGACATGAGCACCTTTCATTCTATTTTTTGCATGACACTTTTTCATATTACAACTTTTTTAATAATAGGATATATTTTTTTTATTATTAATATTTAAGCTTTATACGAAGGATTTTTGAATTATTTTCAAGTAATTAAGCCCCTGTTTCAATATTTATAGATTTTAAAATTAATATTTTTTTAAACAATTTAAAATTAGTAACACCACCTTAATTTAAAATTTTAAATCAATAATAAAAAAAAAAAATAAAAAAAAAAAAAAAATACAATTGTAATTTGATAATAAAAAAAAATTTAAAAATAGGTTAATAATTAATTTGAATCAATTTAATCTAAAAAAAGCCCATTCAGTTCTTTTTATAAATTTTATAAGTGATAAACAAAAAATTAAATTGTAATGTGATTTAATCTGCTGATGAGAGTTTATATATAAATATAATCAATTTAAAAAAAAATAAAAAAAATAACAAAAAATAAAAAAAATAATAAAATAAAGTGGAAACTATTTTATTCGTTATTATAAAACTCACAAGAAAAAAAAAAAAAAAAAGAAAAAGAAATGAATACCATCATGCAAAAAATCTCGCCTTTGATGAGTTTTTTTTTTATTATTTTATTTTTTATTTTTTTTCTTTTTTTTTTCAATAATAATTTGCAGGTCGCAATAATATCAACTCGTGGGTTGATAAAAAAAAATTACAACAATTTTGGCTCAAACCACCTTATAGTTATTTTAACACCACAAAATATTTTGATTGTTAGAGTGTTTGAAGAAAAATAAAAAAAATAAATACACACACATCTACCACACATACACACACATACACACACACACACACATACACACTTCATATTACAAAAAACAAATTTCACATGCATATATTCATATTACAAAAAAATTGCCTATGAGGGTAACACCACAAGAATTATAAAAATATAAATTTATTTATAAAAAATTTGAATATGTGTAGATTTGAAAGGTCACAAAAAAAAAAAAAAATTTTGAAAAAAAAAAAAAAAAAATAATAAAAATAAAAAATCAATATTGATTGGAAAATCTCCTGCGAGATACAATCAATTTTATAATTATATATTTTTTTTTTTTTTTTCATTTATTTTTTTTTTTTTATTTATTTTGAAAAAAAATAGTTATTTATTTTAAATCATTTTTTTTTGTTTTCTCATTTCGTATCATTATTATAAATAATTTTTTTTTTCATATTCAAATATTTATAGTTTATTTGTTTTTTTTTTTGTAACACAAATTATTATAATATTCTATATCTAAATTCTAAATAAAAAAAAATTCTAATTTATTTTTCATATTTCGTTTTTTAAAATTGTTTTATATCAGGCGCTAATCTAAAATAGTTTTAAAGGTAAATTTTAATATTTAAATATAAAATATATAAAATATAATAAAAATAAATTAAAACTCAAATAGAATTCACTTAATTTTATTGTTTTTCCAAGTTCTCACCAATGTTTATTCTTTTAAATTTAGGATATATATATATATTTTTTTTATATTTAATTTTATTAGATCAATCGATTTTTCCATTTAATCACAGATAAATCACTTTTTTTTTTTTTTTTTTCAATTATATAACTCACATTAATTAATAATTCAATATATAATCATAAATGACTCTTTTTTTTTTATTTTTTTTTTCATCAATTATATGATTAAACATTTATAATGTTATTTAGTGGAGGTTGTGCAATTTTTAGAATTTTTTTTAAACCCATCCCTATTTTTTTAAAATATTTTTTATTTTAAAAATATTCACACACATAGTTAAACTTTATTTTTTGAAATTTTTTTGTTTGTGTATGTGTTGTTTTTTATTGGGGGGGAAATTAAGTCTTGGTGGGGGTAATAATATGAAATAAAAATATATTCACCTCACAAAACACACAAAAACACACAAAAATACAATTGTTTTTCTAACGTATGTTGTTTTTTATTTAAAATTAAAAAACATCACCACATATTTCAAAAAAAAAAAATAGCTTATTGTTTAATATTTTTTTTATAATCTCTAAATATAAATTTTTTTATTTTTTTTATTTATTATTATTATTTTTTTTATACAAAATTAATTATAGTTTTTATAAATTTAAGAATCACATTTATTTTTATATCTATACTATTATTATAAATTGTAGATTGTTTTTAAATAATATAGTTTTTTTTTCATCGAGATAAAAGGTGATTATAAATCAAAAAAAAAATAAAAAAAAAAATAAAAAAAACTTAATTGACACTTTACAAAAAAACAATTTTATTAAAATTTTCATCTCATTTTTTTTTTTAAAATTAATTATAGAATTTAATTAAATAATAATAATAGAAACTTTTTTCATTTTATAAAATAAATTAATAAAATAAAACAAATAAATCAATTTACTAATAAATGCTTTTTTTTTTTTAAATCTATACAGAAAAATTAATTAAAAAAAAGAGATAAAATATATCTTTTCGAATCACTTCATTTAATATCTATATAATCAATACTGTACAATATTTTAAATATATATTTAAATAATAAATAAAAAAGAAAATGGGTTTATTAACAGGTGTACCAGCCAACGATGCAAATTTAGTTTTATTATTATTTGCTGATTTCACTTCGATGTTGGGTTGTTTAGCAGTACTTGTAGGTTTCTGGAGATTAAAACTTTTACGTAATCATGTAACCAAAGTAATTGCTTGTTTCTGTGCCACTTCATTTTGTAAAGATTTTCCTTCAACTGTTTTAACTTTAACAAATACTGCTAAAAATGGTGGTTTCCCATGTTATTTATATGCTATTGTAATTACCTATGGTAGTTTTGCTTGTTGGTTATGGACTTTATGTTTAGGTAAATATAAAAATAATTTAATCCTATTTTCAAAAAAAAAAAACAGTATCGCTAATAATATAATTCTTTTATACAGCTATTAGTATTTATATGTTAATTGTTAAAAGAGAGCCAGAACCAGAAAGATTCGAAAAATATTACTACATGTTATGTTGGGGTTTACCATTAATTTCAGCAATTATTATGCTTGCCAAAGATACAGTAGAATTCACTGGTGCTTGGTGTTGGATTGGTAATAGCTATACTGGTTACCGTTTCGGTTTATTCTATGGTCCTTTCTTAGGAATTTGGGCTATTTCAGCTATTTTAGTCGGTCTCACTTCAAGATATACCTACGTTGTAATTCACAATGGTGTTTCAGATAATAAGGAAAAACATTTAACCTATCAATTCAAATTAATCAATTACATTATTGTTTTCCTTGTCTGTTGGATGTTTGCTGTAGTAAATCGTATCTTAAATGGTCTTGATAAATACCCACCAGCTATTACTTGTCTCCATACCTATCTTTCAGTATCACATGGTTTCTGGGCCTCTGTTACTTTTATCTACAACAATCCATTAATGTGGCGTTACTTTGGTGCTAAAATCCTTTCTATCTTCACCTTCTTTGGTTACTTTACCGATGTACAAAAGAAATTAGAAAAGAATAAAAACAATAACAATCCATCTCCATACAGTTCAAGTCGTGGTACCTCTGGTAAGACTGGTGGTACAGAAGTTGAGTTACCAAACTACTCTGATATGGAACAATGTTCTTTAGAAGGTGTTAATCATGCTCAAAATAATAATGATAATAACTATGGCTTACCAAATGATGCTGGTTGCTCAACTTCATCATCATCCTCATCCTCTGATGAAAATGATAAAGGCAAAGGTATTCAAATTTCTTCTTCAACAAATGGAAACGGAAATAATTAATAATATAAAATTTTAATATATATACAAATATTTTTTTTTTTAAAAAATAATAATATTAAATTTAAAAAGAAAAAAAAAAACAATTAATACATTTATTAAAAAAATCTATAAAAAAAACAAACTAGAAAAAAAAAACATATGTCGAATCTATCCATAAAAAAAAACAAAAAAAAAAAAGCAAAACACCTGTATTATATAAATAATAATAATAAAAATGTACTTTTAAATTATTTTAAAAACAATGAAAACTTTTTTTTTTTGCGCTAAATGTTTTAATAATTTTCTAACAAATAAATAAACTAAAGTAAATCATTTTACTTTTAAATAAAAATAGTTTTGTATTTTTTTTATATTATAATTTTTTTTTTGTATTTTTTTTTTGTTTATTATATATTTTTTTTTAAAAAACAAGCAATTTTAAATATATTTTTGAAATTTAAAGAAGTTTTTGTTTTGGTGCAACTTCACAACGATCTGGGACTTGTAAATCAGTAATACAGCAGAGACCAGTGAATAAAATGGCTAATAAGATACCTACAATTAAGTAAGATTCAAGAACTGGACCAGTGAAAAAGTTAAAGTATTTATGATGGGTTGGAACTTCGCTGGAGGCTTCGAGATCTGGGTTGTTATTGATGGTTTCTTTGGTTACAACTTTTGATTCTGACATTTGTTTAACGTAGTTCTTTATTATTTTTAAAAAAAAACATTAATATTTTGATATAAAAATATTCATTGTTAAATTTACTTACTTCTTGAATGTTGAATTCTTGGGCAGATTCAGCAGTGAAGAATGAGGCGAAAGATGATTTTTCGACGATTGATTCAACTTTTCTAATAGTTTCATCTTGATTTTTGTCAAGAACAACAACAACAATATCAACTTTACCATTTGATAAGGTTGATCTAATTTCTGATAATTCATTAATTTGTTTAGCACCTTTAATTTCAGCTTGACCATAAACTAAAATTGAACCTTTAATTTCACTAAGGATTTTTGAAACACCACCTAATGAATATGGAATATAAACACTTGATTTTGATTTTTCGAATGATTTCTGTAAAATTAAAGAATTTAAATTAGATTTTAATTTTTTTAAAAAAAACAATTTAATAAACCTGGTGGATTTTTTTATTTATTTTTATTTAATAATCTTAATTTTTTTAAAAAATAAAATATTAAAAAAAAACAAATAAAAAAATGAACGAATGAGTGTATCTTACCATTAATGATTTGAATTCACCACCATTGTTGTGTGATGAATATGATTCAATAATATTTGATAATTGATCTGTACGGAGCTAAAATAGTAATAAATAAAATATAATATTAATATCAATCCAATACTTTTCTATATATACTGCTTTTTCGTTTTGTTTAAATTATAATCTTACTTTTGGTTCAACAAAAATAGTTAAAGTTTCGACATTATTTTCATCGACAATTGATTGAATTAAATTTTTAAATTGATCTTGGTTATATTTATGTGAAATATGTGTTTTTTTAAATAATCTATAAAAAAAGTTTATAAAAAAATTAATATTCTATTTTGTGAAAAACTATAATTATAAAAGAATACTATTCCAAAAAATCCTATATAACTATTATTATTATAAAAAGTAAAAATTGTATTTTATTTTTTCTATATTCTATTCTATTTTTAAATTTTATAACATATTTTCGCTATACAATTATTTCCTATAGTATTATATTATTTCTCCATACTTTTCTTGTGAGCTCCAACCTAAAATTGGAACATATGTAGATAAAACAACACCTAAAAGAATATTGAATAAAATAAAAATGATGGCGGCTTTCATTTTTATATTATGTATATATTTTTAAAATTAATATATATTACTATTATGCACAATAAAAACAAAAAAAAAAATTTAAAAAAATTTTAAAAAAAAATTAAAAAATTTTAAAAAAATTTTTTTAAAAAAAAAAAATAAAAAAAAAAGTAAAAAATAAAAAAATTAGTTTCTTTTTCTAAATGATAATAATATAATTAGATAATGATTTTTATATGTAAATAGATGTGATTTTTATTTATTTTTATACATCAAAAAATGATGATCAATAATTTATTTAAAACATACTTTATATATTTATATTTGATTGAAAAAAACTAATAAGTGATAATAAACAAAAATATTTTTAAAAAAAAATGAAAAAAAAATTTAAAAAAAAAAAATTTTGCACGATGGAGTTTGAGTCCTGGTAAAAAATTTTAAAATAATAATTCGTGTGAATACTTTTTTTTAATCACCCAGTCTGGTTAGATGTTTTATATAATTTTAATATAAGGAAGCCTAACGATATTAATAAAAAAAAAATAATTATAAATAAATTAAACATTTATTGTTTAAGAAATAGGGAAATATTTTTCATTTTAATTTTAAACCTTTAAATTAATATTAAATTTATTTTTTATTTTAAATTTATTTTTTTTAGATTTATTTGTTGGAATTGAAGATTTTTTTTTTTAGGAAGAAGAGTTGATTTTATTGTAAATATCTTGGCACATTTTTGAATCGGCTAATGAACCAATATAGGATAAAGTATTTTTAAGATATACAGATTCACCAGAGGTTGGTGGCACTATTTTCTTTGCCATATTATATAAATTAAATATTAATGAAGCGGTTTTACTATTTAATTCACCAACATTTAATAGCATATTAATTAAATCGATACAAATGTTACAAACTTTTTTCTGGGTCTAAAAATAATAAAAAAAAAAAAAAAAATTAGTACCAAATTATATTATTGAGCATGTTATGAAACAACTGCATAATATTATTATTATTTTTAAAACTTACTAAATTATCTGGTTCATCTTTTAAGTTATTTAATTCAGATAAGATTTCTTTAATTAAAGAGTTATAAAGTTCTGTTAATTCAGTTGTAAACTCTGGATCTTCAGTGAAAAGTTGATCGTTTGATTCAACTTTATCGATATGATATGGCAATTGTTGTTGAGACCAACTTGAACATAAAGCTAACAATTGAATAAAGATTTTGGCTTTGGCAGTTGAGCCTGATTCCCATGTATATTCTTTAATAACTTTATGAAGAGCTTTAACTAAATAGAATGGACCATTTTCAGGGTGACCTGGGGCAACAACTAATAATGAGATGAATGATGATATATAAGAGATGGTCCAATCTTCAGTTGATTTAACTTGTTTAAATTCGAGGATTGGTGGAATTTCTTGAATAAAAGTGATAGCAGCTTTTAATAAAGCATCAGCTTGAGAAAGAGCTTGATTTTGGAGAGCAACAGATGAGGCTACTAAATAGAGATTCATTTTTAAAAAGATATCATCAATTGATGGAATTGTGATGAAACAATATGCTACACAAGCTCTAATGAATGATGTTGTTTTTGGAGTATGTTTGCCTTTTACTAAAGCTAAAGTTTTTTCGCAAATTTCAATAACACCATAAACTAATCTGTTCTTTACACCATCGAAATTAATAAAGGTTTGTCTGCATTCTACATAAAAATTTAATTGTTTTTCTACATCTCTACCAAAATCGATTTTATTGATACAATTGATAACTAAATTGGTGACTTGTCTTACTTCATCTTGGAAGCTTAAACTATTTAATGAATCATGTAATGCTTTACCATAGGTTAAAAATGTATTAATTAAAATTGGATCTGATGTAATTGTATTTGAACTTGATAATGCTTCTAATGTTGATCTACTAATTTGTTTTTGTGATTCACCATTAAATAAATCTAATAAAGGTAAGAAATTTGGCTAAATTTTAATTATTAAAAAATATAAATTAATAACTTTATAAATAAAATTTTTTATAAAAAAAATAAAAAAACTTACCAATGAAACTAAAACACTAAAATCTGAAATATGAGTAAAAATTTTTAAAACAATTGATTGAAGATGTGATTGAATAGATTCATAACCTTTATCAGGAATGATATGTCTTAAGATATCTTTTAAGAAAATATCAGTTTCTTTTATCTAAATAAAAATAAATTTAAAAAAAATTAGTGGGTGAAAAATTTAAAATTGTGTGGTAATTTAAATTTATAACTTACAGAGCAATGAGTTAAAACATATTCGATAAAAACTTCGGCAACTGAAATATAATCTTTAATGTTTTCAAAATTTGTAACAACCTTCCATACTTCATTTAAAATTGAGAGGATTTGTGTTTTTGGTGGGTGACCTAAAACTAAATTAACACCAAAGGTACTGTATAATTGATATTTTGGATAGGAGAGGGAATCGGCATCTTTGATAAAGTTTGAGAACATTGTAGAGTTGCTGCAAATATAATCTGGTGGGAAAGAGCTAATAATGTGATTTAAAAGTAAAGAGTTTTTACTTTCTCTAAAGAGACTCAAGACCTCTTCTAAAGTTTCTGGAGTTGTTTTATGAGCTAAACATTGTAATAACCATTCCAATGATGGTGAGTAAAGACCCATATAGTCAGTTAAAGTAATTCTATACATTTGAAGAGTGTTTTCTAAATATTTTGAGTTTTCCATTGATTTTTGAGTGAAAACAAAATCTTTTAAGAGTTGAATGATGAATTTTTTGTATTCTGGGCATAAATCGAATGATCTTCTAGTCAAATAAGCTCTAATATAATTGGCTACTAATGGATTGCCAATACCTCTAATCATTTCACTAATTCTGTTGATAACGATTTTTGGTTCAGTGTTACTATCGCCTTGAATAAATTCATAACATTTAAGAATTGAAATTTCGACAAATAATCTTGGTAAAAGTTCTCTAATGGATGCAATTTTATAAAACCAATTTCTACAAGTTTCTTTTGCTTGTTCCTTTAATAAGTGTTCATTGTTTTTGTTATCTTTAGTGGTTTGTAATCTTTTTTTAATTCTGTCATAAACTAAATTACCAAATGTATCTAAAATTTCTGTTGCAATTACAAATTTACTTGGATAAAATTTAATTAATGATGTATCTGTTAAAAGTTTAGCAGTCTTTATTATTGTTAATAAAAATTTATTATTATTGTTAATAAAAATTATAAATTGAAATAATATTATAGTTGTAAATGGTTTACTTACTTGAATTGCAATTTTTAATGATCTAACTCTTTCTTCAGCATTCCATGCTTTTAATAATTCAGAGTGTAATGTTTCTAAATCCATAATGATATCAGGTTGTGAAAGTTGAGCACTTTTAGTTTCTTCTTTTTCTTGTTCTAATTCTTCTAAAATCTTGTTTAAACGATTAATTGGGATTTTAACTTTACCCGAGATACCAGTTGACATGAATGATACTTGGATTGGTGTTGACTCATCTGATGTATATTGTTGAAGAATTGATGGTTTTAATGTGTCCCATGGCATAAAATTTTCATCTACATAGTTGGTTAAATGATTTTCTTTAATAAGTTTTAATCCACCCATTGATGCTATAGTATCTGATAATGGATCATGCTTTTTTTCATTTTCTTTTGATAATGGGTCAAAAAATGCATTATTATTATTTGTATCTGATAATGGATTGATGCTACTATTATATTCTTGTTCTTTTTCTTGTTCTGTTTTAACTGATGTATTTGATGTTAATGATGATTGTTTGGTTTTTTCATCTTTTGGTGTAATTGTATTTAATGGATGTCTATCAACTTCTCTACCACTTAATGTTTTGCTTTTAAAATTCTTTTTTGGGTTTAATAAACTAAAAAAAAAAAAAAAAATAAAAAAAAAAAAAGTTAATATAAACTTTTTAGCTTTTCAGAGATATTAATGAATATTTACTATTGTGGTTGTTGTTGTTGTGGTGTTGATGGAGTTGGGGATGACATTTTAAATACTACTATTAATTTATAAAATTAATAAATAATAAATAAATTAATAAAGTGGTATAAATAAATGATTAAACTAAAAATTTTTATAAAAAATAAAAAAATAAAAAAAAATAATTTAAAAAAAATGAAAAAAAAAAAAAAAAAAAATCAAAATTTTAAAAAAATATAAAAAAATAAAATAATACTTTTCAAAAAACTTTTTTTTTAGATAAATATTTTTTTTAGTTAATTAAAAAAATAATAATGTTGGTAAAGATAAAATAATAATTATTATTTTACTTATTTATTTATTTGAGTTTTCCTTAAAATTTTTTTTTTATAAAATTTAATTTAAATTTTAGTTTTTTGTATCTCTTGAAAGTTTAATTGTGGAATAACCATCTATATAACTTTTAATATTGTAATGTTATAATATTGTTGTTACTGTTTTTTTTTTTTTTTTTTTTTTTTTTTTTTTTTTTTTTAAAAAAAAAAGATTATTTTGTGTTTGCAGCACCACCAATTGTGGTTGGTACACCACCAATTGTGGTTGGTACACCACAACGATTTTCATCATTGAATTTACCAATTTGAGTATTGATGACTTCATATAATAATTTTGGATTGATTGGTTTGGTTACATAATCGTCAACACCAGACTCTAAGAATTTTTCTTTATCTCCTTTCATTGCATGGGCGGTTACAGCAATAATTGGAATGTGACCACCTTCGTTAGCTTCGATTTCCCTAATTGCAGATGTAGCCTCCAAACCATTTAAATTTGGCATTTGAATATCCATAAGAATACAATCATATAGAGTTGATTTAACTTTTGATTCGTGATAAAAGTCTAATGCTTGTTTCCCATCTTTAGCTATTGTAATATCAAAACCTTTTTTAGTTAATAAAGTTTTAATGAGTTTTTGATTCATTGTGTTATCTTCAGCAACTAAAACTTTTTGTGCTGCACATTGTCCAACCTGTAGAGGTGATATAAAGTTTGGTGTGGTGGTTGATGATGACAATGACGATGATGAGTTCATCTGTTGATCATTTAATAATGTTGGTTGTTGTGTAACTAAACCGGAAAGGAAGGGTGGAGATTGAATTTGTGGGGTAGTGGTGGTGCTCGATGATTGTTGTTGGGCCACAAGAGCTGCTGCTATATTTGATGTTACCAACAATACATTATGATGGAGGTGTGATTGGTTTGGTGTCGATGGTGCAATATTACTATTGGATAATACTGCACTTTGTGAATTGTTTAGAATGTTATTTGTATTATTTAATGAAATGGATCTTGGAGAATGAATGGGTGGGGATGTTATTGGTGGTGATGAGTCTGGTGTTGAGTTTGATGATTTTGGATCATATATATTGGAATGACTTTCTATATTTTTATATAGTGATTTATGTGTTGGAGACATTCTGCCATTTTCTAATTGTTGTGATTTTGGACTGTTATGTTTTGGAGAATAGGGTCTACCGTGTTTTGATGATGAGGTTGATTGTAAGCTTAATAGAGGGACAACCATTTTCTTTGGACCTGCAGAAATACCAGTTAAATTACCACTATTGGTAGAACTGTTTGCACCTGGAGTATTGATACTATTAAGACTATTGTTTAAAACAATAACATCTTCAGATTCCTTTTGTGGTGTACTAGGTTGTTGGTTAACACTTGTTGATGATGTGGTTGGGGAGGTGTTATTTTCTTTAATATTACCACTATTATTGTTATTACTAGTTGAAAAAATTGGTGGAGCATTTGAAATGGTTCTTGGAGAGTTTGTTAAATAGCTTGTGTTTATAGTAGCATTTTTTATTGTATTTCCAGAGTCACGGGTACCAAATGCACCTCCAGGGGATTTTGGTGGTGAATAAACTGGAAGATTATTAAAGCCAACTTCATTTGATAATGGCCCTCTTGGTGTACAAATTGAAGAAATTCTATGAACTAAATCCAAGGGACAGGCATGTTTCTTTGGTGAACGAGTATTTGATGGTGAAGAAACTAAACTTGAACCTCTGCTGAAATTATGACCTTGCGAATTATCCTTTAAATTGCTTAATGATAAACTAGTTAAGTTATTAAATATATGAGTACCAGAACCACTGTTATTTAAATTATTGGCATTGGTATTAATATTACTGTTGTTATTATTGTTATTGGTATTTTTTATACTATTATTAATAACAGTGTTGTTTATACTACTACCACTATTATTTAAACTAGTGTTTAAAACAGTATTACCACTATTATTAAGACTATTTTGTTGTTGTTGTTGTTGGGTAATTTGAGTATAGAAATTATTAAAACTATTAAAATGAGGAATACGGCTTGTTAATGGACCACTACCAATGTATGTACTATTAGTGGAATCAAATGATATATTGTTGCTAAAGTTTAAATTAATTACACCATTGTTATTGTTATTTATATTGTTATTGTTATTATTATTATTATTATTATTATTATTATTATTATTATTATTATTATTATTATTGTTATTGTTATTATTATTTACTGGCATATTTGGGAGGGATGGAATATAGATTTCATTTTTAAATTTGTCAAAGAATTTACCAGATGAATTTGGAGAGTTTGTAGTTTGGGATGGAACAGCACTTGGGTTTGATGGTTGTACTAATGGCTCTAATTTTTTAATTCTAATTAAAAAGTGGAAAGTACTTCCAAAGGAGGGTTCACTTTCAAACCATATTTCACCATTAAAGCATTTAACTAAATTTCTACATATACTAAGACCTAAACCAACACCACCTTGAATTCTTGAATAAGAGCCATCTACTTGGAAAAATCTATCAAAAATAAAGTTCTTTTTCTCGGGTGGGACACCAATACCATTATCTTGAATTGAAAAGTGAAGATTAATAAAGTCATCATCTTCATCATCGTTTTGGTCATCATTACCTAGACCAGAGTTGCCTTCCAAGTCAACACTATCGTTATAATTTGTACTGTCACATTCTTCAGAGAAGCCACCAACCTCCATATCATCAATGTTTTGATTACGGTTATTTTCGTTATAGTATTCGTCATCATAATAGTCCATACTACCATAAACAACACTGTAGTCATCGTGGGAATTTAAACGACCAGTGGGTTTACCACCGAGTATAAGATCACACTGTTGATTTGTTAATGATTTGACAGTTATCTTTATAAAATTGTTTATATTACTGGAGTTTGAGAATTTTATAGCATTATCTATTAAATTTGATAAAATTTGCTTTAAACGATTTTGGTCACCATAAAGGTCATCAGGAATATCTGGATCTATGGAACATTTAACATTAATTCTCTTTTCGATGATACGACTATAAAATATTTTGAATATAGTATTGAAGGTGTCACGAAGTTTAAATGGGAATGGTCTAAATAAAAGCTTGTTGGACTCTAAGGTTGTGAAATCTAAAATTTGATGTAATAGTTCGAGAAGAATCTTTGAGCTTTCTACAACATCATTTAACATTTCTTTAAGGTTCTTTGGTGCAACATCAAGACATAGTCCTACCATACCTATAATTGAGTTCATTGGAGAGAGTAATTCGTGGCTAATGTTTGCTAAAAATTCACTTTTTAATTGATTGGCTTCTTGGGCTTGTTCAGTTGCTTTCTTTAGTACCTCCTCACTACGCTTTCTTTCTGTTATATCATGGAGTGCAACAACAGCACCAATAGTTTTACCATCTCTTGATACAATTTCTTGACCACTTGCTAATACCAAATATTCATTTTCATTAATTTTAATTTGATTTGTTTTGGCTCTAAAAGTTTTACTACCATCTCTATTATTACCACTACTATTATTATTACTAATATTATTTACACTACTATTTAAACCATTATTATTTACAATATTACTAATATTTAAAGACATTTTATTTGGTGTTGAAGAATTTGGTGTATTATTACTTGTGGAATTTGGTGTATTATTATTTATTGTATTGCTACTATTTAAACTTGAAATATTATTGTTATTACTTGAATTCAATGGACTGTTACTTGTGCTATTGTTATTGTTATTTGAACTGTTTGAAAAAGCTCTTTGTCTTCTTTGAACACTTGGAGTAATTGGAGTTGTTCCATTATTATTAAAAATTAGTGGTGCTAAAATAATTTCTTGATCAGCAATTGATTCGCCATTTAATGCTTTAAGAATTGGGGTACTATTTTTATCTAAAAGTTGATGGTCATATGGTGAGCGGTAGCATTTAAAAATTGAATCTAATAGTTGTTTTCTGTCTGTTTTTTCGGTAAGCTCAAGGCCATGTAAATCTTGTGCAGTTTTATTAAAATGGGTTAGGTCCCCATTAGAATTAACAGCAATAATACCAGCTTTTAAGCAACCAATTAAAGCTTCAACAAATTTACTTTCTTCTTCTAATTTATCTCTAGCAGCTTGGATATCGCTAAAATCATGACAAAAACCTAAAACTTTATGAACTTTATTTTCTTTTTTAATTATTTCACCCCTAAGTTTTTATAAAAAAAAATAGCAGTTAGTTTTATATTATAATTTGCATTTATTTTCCAAATTTTTATTTTTAATTACTTTAATTGTATAAATCTTATTGTATTATCATTTTTTCTATTGACTTTTAAAGAGTATTCAAAAGTTGAAATGTTTGATTCTATACAATTGTTAATTATTGGTTCAATTTCTTGAATTCCCAACCTGTTTATAAAATCTACAAATGCTAGTGGCTTATTAGTGATGTCATTTTCGATGCCAATGATTTTATAGAACTGATTTGAGGCTTTAGTAGTATTGTGTATTACATTCCATTCCCAAGAGCCAACATATGAATTTATATTGCTTAAATTTTGATGATTTAAACTTGTGGTACTATAATTGCTTTGTGTACTATTATGATCGAAAGAGTAGTTCAATGGTGAGTTTAGTGTTGATTTTGAGGCTTCTTCTAATTCTTCTACTAATAATAAAACTCTATTACCATTTTGATCGAAGAAATTTAATTCTGGTTCGGCTAATAAATTAATATTTGTATCTAAAAATAATTGCCTAGCATCCATATCGGTAATTTGGACACTTGAAAACTTTAAATTTACTTGTTTCATAGTTTCTATTGAATTTAAATCGTCGTTGTTGTCAAATTCTAAATAAACAGTTGTCCATTGTTCATTTCTTGATTTTCCATTTTTTATATCATTTAATAGTTCACCATCATTGAAAAATTTGGTAATTGATTCTATATTTCTATATTTCTTACTTGATTGGTTACTCCAAACTAATATTTTTTTAAATATATCAAAAAGCCAAATTCCTTTATTTAATTGTCCTAATATTTTTAAGTAAATCATTTTAAAAATATTTTAAATTTAGTGTATTGATTATTATTATTTTTGTTGTTGTTGTTGTTGTAGTTGGATGATTTTGTTATTGATTATAGTTGTATGTTTAAAACAAATAAAAATAATAATTGATTGTATTTTACAAATGAATAATGTTTAAAAATAAATAAATAAATAATATTAAAATAAATAAATATAAATAGATTAAGAATAGAATTATTATTATTTCCTATTCCTTTTTTTAGATAAACAACACAAAAATATTACTATTACTATTACTACTATTTACAAAATTAAAATTTAAAAAAAAAAAAAATTGAATGAAAAAAAAATTTTTTAAAAAGAATTATTACAAAAAATATATATTAAAATTATTTTAAAAAATATTATTTAAATATTATTATACATATATTTAGAATTATATATATATATATAAGCTATTTATATACATATATAATATTAGTCTCTATATGTTTTTCTTTATTATTATTTTTTTAATTAAGGAAATTATAAAAAATAAACATCTATTTCCAGTGTGTCTGTGTAATAAAAAAAAAGTGTATGAATTGATTAAAAAATACAGTGAGATTTATGAATGAAAAAAAAAAAAAAAAAGTTGTTTATTTTTTAAAATTGCAATTTTAAAAAATCTATAAATATTTTTTTTTTCTTGTGGGTGGGTGGTGTGTTTTTATAATTGTATATATTTATAATTATATATTTTTATTACTATTTTGTTGATTTATTTAATATGATTTATAATTCTCTCTATCAATGGTTAGTTTAAATAATTAAAGACCAATATTGAAAGTTAACTTTTAATATTTGTTGCAGAGAAATAACAAAGTAATTTATTATTTAAAAAAATAGTGCAATGTTGTTTGTGGTTGTTTAATTTCAACAAACAAATATTTATTTAAAAATAATAATAAATTAAATGAAAAGAAAAAAAGAATAAAAATAAAAAGAAATAAAAATAAACAACAAACAAAAAAAGTGGTATAATTAAAATAAATAAAATAAAAATATTTTTTTATTTTTTTTTTTGAGTGTGTGTTGTGTGTTAATTTTTTTTTTATTTAATAAAATTAAAATTATTTAGATACAACCGTTAATTGATTACTGAACAATGTGTGATTTTATGTGAGTGAGGGAGAGAGTGTGTTGTTTATTTTAATTCTTATCAAAAACTAAATAATGTTATTTATTTAAGTGTATGATGTGTTTGAATATGTATAATGAATGCAAGTTGGTTATAAAGTATTAAATAACAAATAATATTATTAACAGTATTTATTGTTATTACTATAATCAAATTTGGGTGAATGTGTGAATGTGAGTGAGATGAACGAATGTGAGTTTTTTATGTATTTATTCTGATGTTTATGTGTGTGTGTGTGTGTGTGTGTGTGTGTTTGTATGTGTGTTTGTTTAAGGAAAGTGCGTTTGTGTAATCAAAAAAATAATATTGATTATCATTTTTTTTTTTTTAATTTTTTAATAATAAGGAAAAAAAAAAAAAAAAATTATATGAAAAAACTTTTTGTAAATATACCATTTAAAAAAGCTCTAGGTTTACACTCTTGCCCTAATCACAAAACAAAAAGATTTTTTTAAATATGATATTTTTAAAAAAAATGAAAAAAAAAAAAAAAAAAGATTTAGAAAAAATTTATAAATTATAAATTATAAAAAATAAAAGAAAATAAAAAAAATGATTTATCCAAAAAAAAAAAAAAAATTAACAAAATAAATATCAAAATTTGTTTTATTGGTATTTTAATTTAAATTTTATATTTACATATATAAAACACACACAAACAAAAACATATGTTAAAAAAAAAATAATATTTACTTTTAATTTAAATAATTGAATAAACCCCCTCCCTTAACATCGCCAAGTGCCCATAATAAATACTACCCCCCCCTAATACACAAACCTCTACTGATACAAACCAAAAAAGAAACATTCTTTAAAGTTTGATCAATATTATTATAAATTATAATTAATTAAATTTAATAAAAATATCTTTATTAATTTGATTAACTATTTAATTTAAATAAAAAATATTGTTTATTATTTAATTATTATTTTATTTTAGATGTTTTTAGTGATGCTGATAGCGATGTTGATATTGAAGATGCTTTGTTATTGCGTATTATAATGTTTGTTTTAATAAAATTTTATTATTATTATTATTTAATGTTTTATTAAAAATGAAATTTTCTTTGATAAGAACAATCGCTCTAAAATATTATTTAGCTTTCCTTTATCAAAAGGGTTTGCTTGATTTTCAAAGTGTTTTTTATAATCTTCCATTGTGGATTTGTTAGCTAAAACTAATTGAGCATGATAACTACTTAATAAAAGCAATCCCAATACTACTATAAAACTAAAAATAATTAAAAACAAACTATTTAAAAAAAATGATAGTGTTAGATTAATTTTTTTGAGATTTTTTTAAATTAAATAAAAAAAAAAAATGAAATAAAAAAAATGAAAAAAAAAAAACAACAAACCACTAATTTGGGTGTGGTTGCAAAAAAAAAAAACAAAGCAATATTTAAAATTGTTGAATTGAATTTAATCTTAATATTATTAAAAATTGTTGAATTGAATTTAATCTTAATATTATTAAAAAATAAAATAAATAAAACAAAACAAATTAAAAAAAAAAAAAAGTAAAATCAGAAAAAAGTAAAATTTGATTTACATACCACACACCACCCACTTTTGTATGGAGGCTTAATAAAATATTATCTAAAGATTTTTCGAATCTTTCATTAAGGTTATTACTGCTATTACTGATACTGTCACTATTTAAACTGCTACCACTGCTATTATTACCATCACTACCGCCATTATTACTATTATTACTAATAAAACTATTTACATGGTGAACAATAAATACTATTGACATTACGCAAATATAAGTTGAATAAATTAATGTTGAAAAAATAAAAAATAAAAAATATTTGTAATTTCTTTGACCTTTAAAAAAAAAAAAAAATTAATAATTAATAATTATTAATTAATAAAAAAGCGCTAAGTTATTAAACTGCAACCTACCAATACAATTACCAATCCATACACAATGATGATCAAAATTTTGAACGCAGTTATTACAAGTTGAACAATGAAATGATCTTGGTGGTCTAAATATATCACAGGTTTCTAAAAAGAAAACAATTAATATTTAATTATGTTTTTAGGTTTATTACCATGAGTGTACATACCACAATATTTTAATTTTAATTTAAAATAATCTTTAATTATAATTTCCTGATATAGTTTTTCGTCTTTTTGATATTTTTCATTATCGTTTACTTTTCTTTCTCTTTCTACCTCCACCTCGTCTTCTTCCTCTGGGTATTCCTCTGTTTGATTTTCGTGCTGTCTATAAGTGCCCTCCTCCATCTCTACAATAAATTCACCATTGCTATCATCACAAACACTTGATAAGTTGATAAATTTGTTTCGATACTATTTACTGATTCTCTTAAATTATTAAATTTACTATAGTTAATATCTCTTTTTGATTCTAATTCTCTCTGTCTTGTTAGAAACTGTTTTAATTTACTACCCTCATTTTGAGGACTTAATGATTGTTTTTGCTGTTGGTGTGGTTGTAATTGAGGTTGTTTTTGAGTAAATGATGACAAGGTTGTTTTTGATTGATTGTTTGATGATTGGTGTGTCACTGCCCCCTTTGGGAGAATTCCTGGATCAATAAATCCAGCCAAATATAAATAATACAAAGTAAAAAATAAAAAGAAAATGGATACAACATAATTGAATTTTTCTAAAGCACTTGAAATTTCTGAGCTTATTGGGACCCTAAATAATTATCGAATTGATATTTATTAAAAATAATAAAAAAATTAGAATTATTTTATACTTTGGTTTTATATTAACTACAATTACTACTACTTTACAATATAATTATAAACAGTAATGCGGGTACAACTAAAAATACATTTGATATGAAAAAAAATACTTTATCAGGCCCTGTTACGACTCTATTATTAAAAAAATAAAAACTGTTTGATTTCTTTATAATTTTTTTTTTTTTTTTAATTTTTATATTTTCATTATGACTATCGTTATTAATATTGCTATTGTTATTTTGTTGATTCTTATTATTTTTGTCATTTGTGTGATTTCTATTTTTATGAACTAATTCTTTATATTTGTTTTGATTGTGGCTTTGTGGTTTATCCTCTTCATAATCTAAATCATCTTCGTCAATTTTTAAACATCTTTCAAATATATTTTTTTCTTCTTGATTATTGTTATCTGCTGCTGTGTCACTACCACTAACATTGATAGATCTTCCATAATTATTTTTTGTATTGGTTATCATTTATATCTATTGTATACATTTAATATTTAGACTTAATACATATGATGAAAAAAAAAAAAAATAAAATAAAATAAAATAAAATGGAGTAAAATAAAATAAATAGATTTTTACAAAAAATAAAAAGATTGATTGGTGAATGAAATCAAAAATAATTTTATAGTGTGATTACAAAAAAAAAAATTAAAAAAATTAAAAAAATTAAAAAATAAAAGATAAAAAAAAATTTTGCAAAAAAGAACAGATATTTTGAAAAAAAAAAAAAAAAAAAAAAAAAAAAAAAAAAAAAAAAAAAGGGGGAAAAAAAAAAAAAATTTTAAACTTTAAAAAAATTCGGGTTTAATTTTTTTTAAAAATTTAAAAATTAAAGGTTAAAAAAATTTTTGCAAAAAAAGAAAAATTTTTTTGAAAAAAAAAAAAAAAAAAAAAAAAAAAAAAAAAACCACCACACGTGTAAATAATAAGATATATTATACATTTAAATAATTCATGTATTATATTTTTATTTATTGATATTCATTGTAGTAATATTTTTAACTATTGCTATTTATATATAATTTTTTTTTTTATTTTTTTTTTTATTTTTTTTTTTTATTTTTATTTTTACTTTTTTTTTATTTTTTTTATTTTTTTTTACTTTTTTTTCATTTTTTTTAAATTTCTTTTCATTTTATTTTGGAATAATAAATAATAAATAATATCAATCAAGATGAATAGATTAGCTCAATTTAATTCATTAACTCGTTGTTTAATCAATAACAATGTCAAAAGTTTATTAAGTGTACCAGAATATAGCAAAAGATTCTACGAACTTGAGGCTGGTGAATTAAAAAAAGGTATGTTTATCGAACATAAAAACAAGCTTTTCCAAATCGAAAAATTACAACATCAAAAAGTAGCAATGAGAGGTGGTTTCATCATTGCCGATATTAAAAATATTATCGATGGTTCAAGAAGCAACTATAAATTTAGAAGTGCCGAAAATGTTGAAATTGTAGAATTACCAAAAGAAGACTATGTTTATATTGGTGAAAAAAGTGGCAAATTTTTATTTAAAAAAGTAGAAGAAGGTGAGGACGATGAAGAAATCGCTGCCTCTGAAGATCAATTAATTGGATATGCACCATACTTAGCATATTTAGACCGTAAATATCGTCATTAATTATCACCGATCAAAAAAATAATTGTATTAATATTTAATATTATTATTACAGCTGAAACCGAATATAACTTTAGAGAATATAATGGTAAGGTTATTGATTTCAAAGGTCCAACTGATGTTGTTTTAAAAATTAAAAATATAACCGATCTTCAAAATTATAAAGTTTTATATTTCGAAAATGGTAGATCATGCAAAGGCCCAAGTTACCTCAAACCTGGTGACCAAGTTCAAATTCGTATTCCAGAAGAAGAATTAATTACCGCTGTAAAAAGAAGTTAAATAAAAAATTATTAAATTAATAAATAAAAATATTTGTAATTAATTAAAATAGAAAGGAAAATAAAAAACGAAAACGAAAACGAAAACGAAAACGAAAACAAATCTGGTTCGTAATTTAAAATTTTATGTTTTTTATATTAAATGATTAATATACAATGAAAATTTTTTTTATTAGAAAAAAAAACTTTTTAAATTTGGTATTATTATTATTTTGCAACTATTATTAAATTTTAAACAAAAGTAAAATCATCTATTTCATCATCACTTGAGAAATTTGGAGGATGACTGTAAATTGCTGAAAATTGTTCTTTATCTTTTTGCTGTTTTGTTGATTGTTGATGTGATTTAGGTAATTGTTTATTATTGATACTATTATTATTATTATTATTATTAAATTTATTATTATTTACAAGTTGGAATTCATCATCTGTATCAAAGCTTCCAAATTTAACACTGGTATTCATATTTGGATTTAAGTTTGCAATATTATTATTAAAATTTTGATTGGCCGTTGTAACACTAGTGGCTCCAGCTAAGTTTTCATAAAAATCTTCAACCAAATCAACTTCTAATTGATAATCTGGTAATTTATTTGATATAGAGATAATTGGGAATTCATCATTTTCAAGTTTTGATAATCTATCACAAAGATCATCAAAGCTTGATTTATCTTTACAATAGAATCCAACCGATAATGATGGGTCAATATTTGAAAATGACATTTTTTGAGGAATACAACCACAGAAAGTCTAAAAATATAACAATAAAATTAGTATAAAAATTACAACAACAACTATAATAATAAGGTTACATACCTCAGAATAGTTATTGGAGCTTGGGTCAACAGTATCTTGAACAAAATGTGGATCTAAATAAATTACTTGATCATCTTGGAAACCAATAAAATAAAATGATTGCTTTGGCTTACCACCAATAAATCCTAAGCTTTGTGGTATTGAAAGGATTGATTTTAACTTGCGTATATATGAAGTATTAATTCTATCGACGCCCAATTTTAATGGGATCATTATAATTAAAGATTTCCATTTATTTGGGTTAAAGTGGTAATAGTCTTGATCATCATCGTTTACACTAAGTGGATGATTAAAAACTTCGCTCGGTACTCTTGATGGTGGTGATTGATTCATTGATAAATTGTTTTGATTATTTTGGTCATTATTTTTATAATTATTAAAGTAATATGGATTACATAGTTGATTTATATATTCTCTATAGATAACACCATCATTTGGTACATACATTTCCAAATCATCAAGGTTTTGATTTTTTACTAATTGTCTTAATACATTTGAAATTTTGGTTGGTGCTAGCCACTCTTCGACATTATCCCATTCATCCTCACTGTCACTACTTGAATCACTATAATTATCTATTCTAACTCTAACAGAATTTTTACCATATCGCTGTTGTTGCTGTTGTTGTAATTGTTGTTTACGACGAGCATAGTTCTCCAATGCTTTTTGTCTAATTTTTTTTTCCATTGCTTTTTTCATATGCACTATTTGATGAATTCCATATAAATGTTCTTTAGATTGATAATCACTAAACCATTTTAAAACTTGATTATACTTTGAGTTTATTCTAATCCTTTCTTGATGATTAATTATAACTTTAAAAAATAAATAAAAATTAATTATTTTTATTTTAAAAATTATGAATATAATATTTAAAAAATTTACCATTATCTGGATAAACATGTTTTAATAATGCTCTTGCTAAAATCATTTGACCAGTTCTTAACATACACCCCCAACCAATATCTGTTGTAATTGTTGTGTTTTCTATTGGTGGGAAATCTTTTCTATAACTAAACCATATTAATGATCTGACATCATCTAAAAAATTTGATTGTATAATATTATTATTTAATGTACTAAAACTATTTGTATTATTATAATTAATAATATTATTATTGCTATTATTATTATTGTTATTATTATTATTGTTATTATTAC